CCTCACCCCGGCTCCCACCCCTCATCCCAGCCAGGAAACCTGCGGGAGCCTAATCCCGGCCGCGCTGCTGAGCCCGCGCTCGCCTCAGCCGAGAACACCTCACACCTGAGGGGAGGAATTAAACTTCCACAAAGTACCTGCAGCTGTGCCAGGCCGGAGCTCAGCTGCACCGCGATCGTCTGCCAGCAAAAAAAGCTGCTGTGCCTGACAGTTTCAAATAAGGATGGTGAAGCTGGCTTTGAGCAGCGTGTGCCATTCTCTGCTGCCTAGGGAGGTGTCCCCCTTACCTTTATAAATAACTCCCTTGTATCAATACGTAAGCGTAGGTGCTCGTCTTTAGGCAAAGCAGGGGGGCAGGTGCATCTGCTAAACGTGCAAAGGAGCTCAGCTGTGTCAGCGAAATGATTCCTGCTAAAATAGAATGGCCTTGGGTGGCTGACCCACCACAGCAACCAAAGGTTTTCCAGGTGCCTCATTACACATCAGCCCATCTTGTCCACAATGTCTTAGGATTTAAACAACCTGCCCCTACGCTCCTGGAAAATTACAGAATACAAGAAAATATAAAGAAAAATCTCACTCAGTTTCATTGGCAGTCAGTGGGTGTTTCCTTCACTGAATCCAATGCCAATCTAAATCAACTACTGGCACGGTTGGGATGATTTCTAACACTGCTGTGGCCAGGTTTGGATTTCTATGAGATATGAAATAGCTTTTGCCATGTTGAATACTTTGTGAATTTCAAATGAGGTTTCTATATGTTTTCACAGAAATATATAAAAGGTAGCACTACATTTTACAGAGTGAACCTGCTGAAAAAAATCCTTATAAATAAGCTCCAATTCAGGCTTGTAACCAATCTTTTGAACTGCAACACAGAATATTATGACTCTAGATAGGAAGTTTTAAACATAAAAGCCCCTTTATTAGAATAGCACAGGCAAAGAACCACTAGGGTATTTCTGCTTTGTCCAGCTGCAGAAAGTTCAACATCTCCTGGAATTCCCAGCAAATTTTCTAAATCCAAGCCAGCACCAAAGCCTGGTTTTGATTTTGAAGTGAGCAATACCCTCATCCTCAATCTAGCAAGGGGAGAGTGAAGCAAGTTCTACTCTGTTCTGGCTATGATATGGACCAGGCCAGCTGGAAACCATGCAAAGGGAGCTTCTTGCTATTTCAACTATCAGAACTACATCTACAGCAAGTAGTGGCACACTCAGCACACACTGCCAGCTGCTGCTGGGCATGGGAGCCCTTTTGCTAGAATGTGACATTTTGGGGTTTATTGTCTGATTAGGAAACTGGAAATAGCTTACCTGCTTGTACTCATCAGAGTACTGCTAATATGAGAAACATTATAAAGAAAAGCCTTATACATGTAGCATTTTTCGTTATCAGAAGTTCTTCTAAAAAACAAGAATAATACCTACCTTGATGTTCATTCACTACATGGGCTACCAGATAAGATCTTTTATGTCACAATTGCTGCACCTGTTTTTAGTTATTAAAAAGTTTTCCTTATACTTTCATAGCACATTACTCACTGTTAGAGGACTTGCCAATTCAGCCCTGTAATATTACCAGTAAATTTGGTAGACTTTCTACATTCTTATTCATTCTGTATCTTGCTCATTTCTGCAATGCTGAGTGGACCAAGCAGTATTTTCAAGCCTGTCAACTTCCAGGTTCTTAATGCCCAGGATGAGTAGTATCTGAAACAAACACAGTAATTGCACACTTGTGTTCTGCCCCAGTTTTACAGAACATTTTTTCAAACTCAACTTGCCTCACTTGGCAAGAGTACAAGCATGGCTGTCCTGGTAAGAAGAGGGTCAGTTATCATCACATAATGGTTTGGGTTGGGAGGGACCTTACAGACCATCGAGTTCCAGCCCTCTACCATGGGCAGGGACACCTTCCGTTAAATCAGGTTGCTCAGAGCTCCATCCAAGCTGGCCTTGAACACTTCTAGGGATGGAGCATCCACAGCTTTTTTGAGCAACCTGTTCCAGTGCCTCATGACCCCCACTGTCAAGAATTTCTTCCCATTATCTAACCTAACTCTACTCTCAGTTTAAAGCCACTGTGATGCATTCCTCAAAGATGCCTAATTCCTGAGGACTTTTGAAAAGGTAGAAATTTCAAATTGTCCCAGGCCACCACTAAACAGAATTGTTTTTTTTCTTGATGTGTTAAAAAAAATAGGCATCATTCCTGATAGGAGCTTTCACTGCAATAAATGTAAATATTCGGATAATTTCTGAACTTAATGCTGCAACACCAAAGCAACCACATGAATACACTGTTTCTTTCATGAAAAAGAAAGCCCATTTGTGCATTTCAAACAATGGGAAAGCTTTGTCAATGAAAGTGGCCTTTGGAAGAAACATACATAACATAACACCAGGAGTTAACCCCCTGTTTTGAGTGCAACTCCCTTTCTAAAGAAGACTTGTTTTGGGTTTTGCTGTTTTTTATTTCAGCCATCTACTTGAAAACGAAACAAATGTACCATTGGTGCCCTAGGAAGTTAATATGTATAACAAAGACTCTATTTAAGTTTACACGGCCATTCTGAAAGAGCACTAGAATTCAACATAAAAAGTATCAGCTCCTATTGCAAGAGCAAGATAGAACTGGATCATTACAAATAGGAACACTAACATTTTCTACAAAAACCCCAGACACGTGGAAAACAGCTCCGGGAAGTGAGCTGCTAAGTTCATGATTCACTGGTTGTAGTCAGCATGGATTCAGCAAGGGCAAGTCAGACTTGAGCAACCCTCTGCACTGAAATGACTGCCAGGAGCTGAAGGGAGAGCAGCAGACGCTGCCTGCCGAGACCTCAGCGAGGCCTCTGACACTCCCCCAAAAGATCCTGGTTTAATGATGATGGGCAGAGCATGCCCTCAGCAGGGCTGCAGGTGACACAAAACTGGGAGTGGCTGATACACCTGTGGGTCCTGCTGCCATCCATAGGGATCTCTGCAGGCTGGGGAAATGAGCTGTGGAGGAACAGTCCCATACACTGATACATACACAGTGGTAACACCCTGGGACCATCCAGATGGAATAACCCCTTTGCAGAGAAGGCTCTGGGATCCTGGAGTTGAACAGGAGCCAGCAGTGTGCCCCAGACCAAGTTGATGGCAGGGGCAGCACCAGCAGGATGACAGAGGTGATCCTTCCCATTACCCAGCAGTGCCCAGTTCTGGGCATCCCAGCACCCAGTGTGAGACACACAGACATAGCTGGCAGTCCAACTAAAGGCCACAAAGGCATTCAGGGACTGCAACACTTCTCTTAGAAGGACAAGATGAGGCAGCAAGAACTGTTTAGCCAGAAGAAAGCTCAGGGAGACTCTTATGAACACTTATCACCATCTGAAGTGGGGGTGCAAAGATGGAGCCAGGCTCTTGTCAGCGATGCCCAGCGACAGGACAAGAGGGAGGGGGCACACACTGGAACCCACAAGGTTCCATCTGAGCACTAGAACATACTTTTACTGTGAGGCTGACTGAGAACTGCAGCAGGTGGCCCAGGGAGACAGTGTCCTTCCTTGGAGATCCAAAACCATCTGGACATTGTTCTGGCCAACAAGACCTAGACAGGATGGCTGGAGCAGGGGGCTTGGACAATGTGACTTCCAGAGGTCTCTCTCAACCTCAACCAGCCTCTGAGTCTGTGAATAAACAAATATACAGAAGTTTTGGAAAAATGGCAAATTTATTTTTTTTAAATATAAAAAAGATCATGAACTGCATAGAAGTATGACTTCAGTCTTCTGAAAATGTTACTCAGCATTCATTCACTCTTGGAAAGTCCCAGTAATATGGCAGGACACAAAACAGACTAACAGTTGCCTACAATGCATTTACATTCAATTGGAGTTAATCTGCATAACAATATTTTAAATAACATAATCTGTTACTGCATAACAATATTTTAAAATAAATCAAATGCACTTATCCAAACAAAGTCTGATTCAAAGCAGATTTTAAGTACATATGAAATACAAATAAAGTCTTCAAAACTTGAATTCTTTGGATAAAACAGTTTTTCAATTATTTAAAGATAAGTTACCTCTATTGTAGTAAGAAATGTAAACATCAGATACCGTGATAAAAATCATAAGGAATAACAGCTTTGTCATAAAGTGCTGGAATAAGCTATCAGCTTTATTTTCCAGATGCTAAAAAATAATTGTAATTTCAATTCAGGAATATTTTGGAAGAATTTTAAATTATAACAATTTTTTAAAACGTTCTTCTTTACCTTTATCTACACAGCTTTTTGGCATTTTCTTCTTTATCTCAAGTAAACTTTAACTTCTACATATATATCAAAAAATCTGTGGTTTTAACTTACCCAGTTCAAACTGGAATCCATGATGGTGGAAAAAAATCAAAAGGTCAAGTAAGACTCGACTGGGAAAAGCCAAGGACTTTGAAAAGTAAGGGTGTAAAGTACCTGAGCACAATCCAACAGCTGCCTCCTCCTGCAAAGTAATTCTGTAATTATATATACAATCAGTACCACTGAAAAAAGCTCCATGAGAATTCATACACAGGGGAGACTGTGTGGTTCCCTCACACCCAGCTATCAGGGCTTTGTCTCTGCTGAACAAACCCATTACTTCATTTCACATGAAATTAAGGCTTGGAGAACTTTTCCTACTGACAAACACAAGCTGAAAAGTTTTATGTGCCTTACACCTCTGCTTTCCACTTGTCCATGTGAACATTCCCCCAAACCAAGACATCAGTCCTGAATCGCCCCATGTGTTAAGGTGACACCTTATATTGAAATCTGTTTGGGAAAAACCTGCTCTTTCCTTGTGTGAAGAAAGATAAAACACAACCTTTTACCACCTATCAGGTTCACCTCTCAATCATATTCCAAAATGCCAATCTGCCTGACTACTGAAAAATCCACAGGCACACTTGAAAAGGATTATCAGATTGTGGTATTTTATTACAGAAAACAAATCCAATTCAAAGACAATTAAATTTAAGCTTTGAAGAGTGGAAAATCCCAAAATATTTCAAAGTGGCATTTGCTTTCAAAATATCTACGTGAGTTTTAATAAATTCACTGCCCAAAAGGCTCCCAACGTCTGATATGATTAAGGGGCTTATTTTATGAATATTAGTTTCAAGCTGTTAAGGCACAACTGGCATTTGCTCTAAGACAAAACTTGACACAGGCATTATTACCTTAGAGCCAGAAACAAATGGAAGTGGAAGGCACAGAACTTTAAAAAAATACCACTAACCAAACCAATTTTAAAGGCTTAAAACAATTATTAGGTAGTCTGTCTTTAAATACTAACACACTGCAGTCCATTTCTCAGAGCAGGCATGAAGCTGAGTAATTATGGGCAACACTAATTGACAGCAAGATGCACTTCTACATTAGAGGGGCACAGAGAAAAGTTGTTCATTGCAGTTTCACTGGCTAAATGGTATTTTCAGTTTACTCAGTTTCACTGCTTTTAGCTAGAGGCTTTGTGTTTTGGGGCTTGTTTGTGTGGGGTTTTTGAGGGGGGATTGTTTTGGGCTTTTTTTTTTTTAACATAAGGAAAAATCAGTACAGATAGATTATTCAAAAGTTTGACAAAAACAAACCACCAAGTTCAAATATTCACATCAGCATAGGAACCTCATCTTCAAACATAATTTATGGTAAGAAGCCAAGACCCGCAAGCACTGACAATATACCTGTTTTCTCTACCAAGTGTTGCAGAGATGCAACACAGCATAACCACATAGAAGATGCACAATAATGCCCAAGCAGACCAGATCTATAAGGCAGAACTACTAGTGATGCTAGAGGGAGAACAGGTTTCCAAATGGCCCCAACAGATGCACCATAGTTCCAAAACATACCAAATTTAGCCTCTATTTAAAGTGGTGAGAATGGTAGCAAGCAACACCAATAAACCAGCAAGATTCAGCCTCCCTTCTTCCCTTCCCAATTTCTTACTAAGGGTAGTCCTAAAAGCATGCATGTGTTCAACCACTGTTTGGCAAAGACTACATTTAAACTCACTTGCAGGTTTCAGTTTGTTTGCTCTAGCATCATCTTTTGACTAGAACTTGAAAAGTGCAAAAATATTTAATTATATCTTCTTAAAAAAAATAATTCATTTTATTGGCACAACTCCAATTCCTCAGGAGTTAAATCCACTGCCAGCAATGGATAGAAAAGGAGGCATCAGCATAAAAGAATCAAAGTGCATTTCCAGTTTGCCAATGCTGCATGAATTGGCAAGCCAGAACTTTTCTTTCACCACTGGAACAGACTATGCTGAATGCGTTTCATGAAAAGTCTGTATCACACATTAACACACAAAGTCTGTCACAAAGTCTTGGGGATACTGCAAAGAATCATCGAAGCGGAAGCGTTTGGAGAGCGTACTGCTGTCCTCTGGAATGTTCTCCTTGTCCTCCTTGTCGCTGCAGCTACCACTGCAGCTGGATTTTACACTCCACTCTTCTGAGCACTTTGTGGTGTGTCCTGGCAGATGAGAGGAGCAGCAAGTTTCTTCAGGGCTGCACAGGAGCGTGAGCTCCCCTTGCTGCAACCACGAATGGGAGAGACAGTCCGCTGCAGTGGGCCTGTCCCTTTGGAAGGAGAAAGGGAAAGGTGCTCAAGTTAATTTCACCAATACTAAAAATCTAAAATAGCTCTGATTCTAAAAATCCCAAGCAAAATTGACACTAAAGAGTCAATATTGGTGTGTTTTCACCCCTACCTCAGCTGCTACAAGTATTGGTTACACACACCTAAACTTAGTTGCTGGTTTACCCTAAAGCTGGTAAGCTTTCACCAGAACAAGGAATACAATTCCTGGGAATGTTTTCAAC